ATTGATGTGAAGTTCGATTTCAGTCGTTCCTTTTAAGTATCTGAGCACTCTCCTTTAACACTTTTATGTGAAGATTAGTTGATTTTTGCATAAATTGACTGAGTTTGTTTATGATAAATGAGATATCTAGTTTTGTATAAGTCAAGTATTGAAGTGACCCAATTATTTTCCTATAAGGAGTTGGATTAGATAACTTCTATCCTTCTTCTACAGATAGATTATTTCCAACGACTATCGAGGTCGAACATAGTTTTGGAAGAATGCATTTTGTTCCATTTGAGAAGTTCTTCAGTGTATTTTATTTAAGTGAGGAAAAGTCTGGTCTCATCATGTGTTGCTTCAATTCTGAGAAAGAGATGAAGCTCACCTTAGTCTTTTAATGCAAATGAGGTGTGAAGTTGATTGATGAATCTCTACATTCTTTTGGGCTCGTTTCCTATCACAATTATATCATCAACGTAAATTAGTATGAAGAATTTAGTGGTTGTAGTGACAAGGAATAAGAGTGAGGTATCTGTTTCAGAGTTTTTGAAACTTCATTTGAGTAAAGTGGATTTGAGCTTATCAAGCCAAGCTCTCGGTGCTTGTTTGAGTCCATAAAGTGCTTTGTTGAGTTGACAAACATGATTATGATGTATAGAGTCTTTAAATCCTTTAAGTTATTTCATGAATATTGTTTCTTTCAATTCCCCATTCAGGAAGGCATTGTTCATATCTAATTATTTGATGTACCAACCACTTGAGACTGCCAAGATCAGTATGACTTTGAGAGTTGACGCCTTAATCACTGGGCTGAAAGTTTTATGAAAATCAATTCCAGGTGTTTGATGAAATCCTTTAGCAACTAACCTGACTTTACACTGTTGAAAGCTATCATCTGCATTTGTTTTGATCTTATAGACCCATTTGTTCCCCATAAGATTCATTTCAGAATGATAAGGTACCAATTTTCAAGTTTGATTGTTATTGAGAGTGGTCGTTTCTTCTTCTATTAATGATTTCTAGAGGGAGTATTTAACTGCTTCTGTGATTGAAGTGGGTATGCTGAGGTTATCTTTATTTGTTGTGCTAAACAACTAAAAATCCTGTGACAAGTTTCTTGGTTTAAATATTTCGGCTTGAGCTCTTGTCATCATCTGCTGCCTAGGAGGTTCAGCTAAAGTCTTATTTGTAATACATGGGTCTGAAATTTAGTCTATGATTAATTTTAACATTCTAAAATATATAAAAATCTATTTTTTTGAAATTAATAAATTTTAATTTAATGTGAAATTATGAAAAAAAAATAAGTTAGAGATGAAATTAAAAATAATTTTGGGAAAAAGTTGTGAAATTTTGGATTCAGATTGTGTTTTTGAAAGAAAAATTAGAAACTGATGGTCAGAATGTAATTTTAAAAAATTTTACCACGTAGGCTTGCCCAGTCAGCAGTCTCGACGAACCGGAGCACACCGCGTGGCAAGGCACGCTGACTCGGTGCCACGCTGGTAATCTGCGTGGTCTGCAATCAGACGACCCAGAAGCCTTCTCACGCGCGTGGACAATCCAAATTCGTTCCCTCCTCAAGTGCAATCAGACGGTAGCGATCAAACATAATGAACAGTCCATATTTATTTTCTCCTTAGGCGTGATCAGATAGTCGAGATCAAATACGATGAACAGTCCAGATTCATTTTCTCCCTAGGCGCGATTAAACAGTCGTGATCAAACACAATGAATGGTCCAGATTTGTTTCCTCTTTAGGCACGATCGAGATCAAACACGATGACGGTCCAGATTCGTTTCCTCATTATGCGCGATCGAACGGTCGAGATTAAACGCGATGAATGGCCTAGATTAACGCGAAGTGGGTATAAATATTTTGCATCATACAGAATCTGAATCCTAGTCGTCAGCCCCCCACCAGAGAAGAAGAACCAGTCACCGGAGAAAAGAGCCGATCACTGCCTGCCATTGCACCGAAGCCACCTCTGACTGCTAAAAAAGGTAAAAATTCTCCTACCAACTCAGAATTCGATTCTGAGCACCCCTGTAGCCATATCAAAGCAAAACAAACGGCGAATGAGCTGAAAACTGGGAATTAAGCTTGGCAAAGCTGCCGTGGGCAAAACCCGCAACCGCTTCTGATGAGCCACTTCCCATTTCCCGTTTCGTGCGATTTTTTCATTATTGTATTCACCGTTCTGTTTTCTATAGATTAACCAAAGTAAAATACTCAGCCGCGAAGGTGAACTGGTGGAGTCGCCGTACCGAAAAATGCCGCCACCAATAGATTTCTATTTTTTTATTTTTTTGGGACAACCGAGACCCTCTAACGTGTTTTTTCATAGAGATGAGCATAAAATCGGCCAAAACCAATCAAAACCAGCCGAAAATGGCAAGACCAAAATAAACCGCCATCGTGGACAATGGTGTCGTCGTCGGAGCATGGCGGTGCCGTCGTGTCGAAACCCTAAAATTGGATAAAAAATGATTTTAACACCGATTTTAGATTTTTATGGTATTTTTAGGTACGTGAAACGTGTTATAATCTCTGCAAGAAAATTTAAGAAATCCGGATATCGCCAATAGGCACAGTAGAAAGTTTGGTATTACGGACACCAATTCGGATAAAAATCCTTCATCTTACTTTTAGTTATAGAATTGAAGTTTAATAATCGATAATATGGTATTTTATGTAATTTAAAAAATTTTAAGAATAATTACAGGTTACTAATAGAGGCGGAACCGGTTAGTTATTTATTGTTTATCCTGTTTAACTAATTGTTTGATTTTACAGCTTTAAATACATGATAATATATTAGAATAGTTAAATGATTCAGTTGTACTTTCTTGATGCATGTATTGTTTGTCTTGCGTGATTTACGATTAAATTGTGAAACTGAAAATTAAAATATAAATGGAAAATTACTTGGTTAAGTGAATTAATAAATGGTTATCTTAATGGATATCTTGAAAAATGGTGGACGGATTGGATGCATAGGGAACCCTATCGTGAACATTATCTCATACCAGACAGGGTATCGAATGATAGTATTTTTGGTGCTCATACCGGACGGGGTATGAGAACAGACCGATTCATCCTCATACTATTTCTACTTCAGAGCTTCCTTCCACCCCCTTCTCTGTGTATTCAGGTGGACTTGGTTTGGCTCTTAGGATGAAGCCTTCGAGTTTGTTCCCACGAATGATTGGGAGAACCATGTTTTTCCAAAGAAGGAAGTTGCCATTGTTGAGCTTCAGTGTGCAGACAGAGCCCATTGCATCGTTGGGCAATGTTTGAATTCTTTGAGGTGTCGGGTTGAAGATAGAGGAGTTATTGTTCTCTCTGGCCATATTAGTGGCTCTGATACCTAGTTAAGAAAATTAACAAATTATTTTTTAGTGAATCAAACTGGACACTTCACAGCTTTTGTTTTTGTGATATACATTCTGATAACAAAGGTTACAAATTTATAGAGCATGAGCTGCTCTTTGTGAAGGAGCCGACCAACACAAATGAGGAAACAAATAAGAAAACATCCTTACAGAAGATCAAAATTGAAAATGCAAAAAATAAAAAGGACATCAGGAAGGGACGATCACAATTCTTCTTTTTTTAGTTGTCGGTCATGCATTCTTTGTCCTAGAGGTTAGTGCTGAGTTGGATGGCTGATTAGGATGGTTTGCTAATCTGGACAAGTTTGCACACTTGGTTACTTTAGATTGTTATTGGCGGCAATCACATAACCGAGTAACATTCTTCACAAAAATATCTTTTATTTACCACATGAAGCTTTATTTATTCATAAGGTTAAACTATGATGTATATATATATGTATGTGTGTGTGTGTGTGTGTGTGTGTGTGTGTGTATTATGGGAAAGATGAATGATTAATTTTACCATATATGGTACAAGCAAATCAACACGTCTTTGACCAATTCATACCTACATCCAATTAGTTTAATATCCATGCAATCACTTCTTCAGATCATGCTTCATATAATCTACCTACCCTATATATATATAAGTAAATAATATCCGTAATCACCATTACGATATATATATATGGAAGAATTCACATAGGGATAGAAAAGAAATAAAAG